TCATGGCCAGCGGGAACACCTCCTCCTCACACTTCTGCTCCTCGCACACCTGGCCAGCCCCGGCGGCAGAGAGGAAAGAAAAAAAAAGACAAAAGGAAGTTTTGGTGAGAGAAAAGAGCTCAGCACGGCTCCGGAGCTGCTGTTTCACACTGTCAGGGAAGGAGCCGCAGGCATCGCCCCCGGGCTGTCACACTGAGGCTTCACCTTCCTGTGGAGAGCAGCAGGAGCGAGCTGCAGCTCCAAGGAGAGCACGGAAAAATCCCAATTTGCCCGGTTTGGCCTCGTTTGTGCTGTGCCCTGCTGGGGATGGCTCCAGGCAGCTGCCCCGGGGAGCTCGGGAGCAAAGCAGCAGCTCCAGCTGGAGGGTGCAGAGGAGGACCCAGGGCTGGCAATTCCACCTGGAGCCAGGAGAACCGATGGCAGCACCCCAATAATGTCCCCAAAATCCCTCGCTCGGGCACCGGCAGAGCCCGGCAGCTCCAAATTCCAGCCCTGCGCTCTTCTGTGCCCCCAGCACCGCAGCACTTGTCACACTGAACTTCCTTCTTTCGACACAGCCATGAAGAAGATATTGCGGTTTCTCCTCGCTCTGCAGAGAACGCCGCCCTCCTCCTGCTGCCAGCAGCGGCTGTCCCGGCCACGGGGACAATGACACGCGGGTGGTGGCACCCGCCAGTGTCACCTCGCTGCCTTTAGGGCTGCACAGGAGCCGAGCCCAAAGCGGCGTTTATCTACCGACCCTCCTCGAAAAGGGGAATGCGGAGCGACAGCAGGGAAAAAGAAAAAAAAAACCTTTAAAATTAAAATATTCTTTATTTCTTTGGAAGAGCTTCCCGCAGCACCGGCCGGGGATAAGCAGAACCCAGCCCTGAGGAATTGTCATTTATTGAGAATCCTTCCACCAGGAGATCCCCCCACCCCGAAATCCATCCCGCAGAGAGCCAGATTCATTTTTAATTTAGGGAAGTCGACAGTAGCGTTATTATCTCCCCCTTGAACCAGCGCCGTTCGCAGCCCCGCAGCCCCCGGGGGGGATCTCTCCCTCTTTTGGGGGTCTCTCACCCCCTGCTTTTGGGCTCGGGGGAGGCTCCCGCATGGGGGAATCCCAAGTTTGGCACAGCCAAACCCTCCATCCCCTCCGGCATCACCCCCCGCGCCTGACACCGGAGACATCAGCTCCGGCTCGTCCCCCGGTTGTCCCCCGCAGCCCCGGGCTTTTGGGGAACATTTTCGGTACCTCCAGCATCCAGAAGGCCAACATCTTCCGCATGTAGGGCTGGATGTCGCGCTGCACGCACTGGAAGTAGGACACGCGGGGGCTGTAGCGCTCCTCCAGGCTCAGCAGGTTCTGCAGCACCCGCCGGTCCCCCAGCAGCTGCGGGTCCCGCCCGGCGCGGGGGGCGCGGGGCGCGGACTCCGCGCACAGCAGCTCCATGGGGGGGGTGGGTGGGGGGCGGGCAGGGGCTGCGGGGACGCTGCGGGGACGCTGCGGGGACACAGCGCGGACACCGCGGGCGGAGCGAGGCGCCGCAGCCACCCCGCGCTCCGCCGCGCCCGCCGGGAACTGGCGGCGCTCCCGCCGCGGCCCCGAGCGCCGGGAGCGAGGGGGGCGTGGCCTCGCCGCGCCGCAGCCAATCAGCGAGCGGAACCGCCGCGCCCTCCGAGTTGGGGGGCGTGGTCACGGCACTCCGCACCAATCGGAAGGCTGAGCGCCGTGGAGGGGCGGGGCTTCGGCGGTGGTGGGCGGGGCCAGGGGCGCGCCGGCGGGACGGGCGCACGTGGGGCGCGGCGGGCGCTGCTGCCATGTTGGGGGGGGACACGGGGGGACACGGGGGG